CAATGGATAGAAAAAGCAATTTAAAGAATGAAATAATGATAATATGTTAAGAGATCGTAATTCAGTAAATATCACATAGCCCATTAAGTACCTGTCTCTTATACACATCTAGATGTGTATAAGAGACAGATATTTAGCTTCATCTATCCAATGTGTTGTAACAAGTGCAGAGTCTCTGCACTGTACTGCAAATGTACAACAATATCATAATTTTAGGAAAAACTCCGAATGCCTTGCAATTATTTAAAATTTAAATCCAATTCGGCTTTGTTCAAACGAAGAGTAATCTTTTCATATTTCCTTAATAAAGAAACTGGTAATCTTCTTGAACTGAAATCCTTGATAATAGAACCAAATGGACATAAGTTGACAAAAAATACAACGCATTTTAAAAATAACACAAAAGATTTAATGGAAGACATGTTTCAGGTTACCTTCAACCCATCATCAGTTAACAAAAAAACACAACAGAAATGAACCAAATACTTTTCATGTAGACTATATATATATAGGTAATTATTATGCTGAATATTAAATAGATATTAAAGATAGAAAGATTACTCTTCGTTTGAACAAAGCCGAATTGGATTTTAATTTTCTACATAATTGCAAGGCATTCAGAGTTGTGTTGTCTAATGATGTACAGGAAAATATTGAGCTTCAAAAATAATGATAAGATAGAAATATATAAATCAAATGTTTATGGTTTGTTATTGTATATCAATTCTTTTTGTTCCCATCACTCATCTGAACCCTGGATAGGCTCAAATGTGTTATAGATATTACAGTGTTACATCACGATACCGTGTGATACTACTCTGTTGCTATCGGCGACACAAAATGCGTTCAAACCATTGATCCCAATTTCTATTGTAATTATTAAGATGTTGTATCTTAATTTTTCTTTGTAAATTTTAATTGATGATTAAATGTGTGTACAATAATTAATAATGCGAGTTTTTGTGCTTTTAGTACATTTTGATGGTATTAGGTTTTAAAATACCTATTCCAGAAAGCCTATGAAGTCATTCAGACGTAATGAATGGTAACCAACATCTGGTTGACAAGAGAGCACTGTAATGCATATACCTATTTTAATACACTACTTAGATAGGCTTTTCTTTTTCCATCTTGATTTCAGAGGTCAAAAACATCTTTCAATTTTTTTTCAATCATATAGTGGTGTAGACTAGTCTTTTACGAACATTTTGCTGGAAAAAGTTTTTGGATACAGCACCCCGTTACGGAGTTATGATTTTTTAAATAAATGATGTCAGAAAATCAGCCCAAAAGCTTATCTTATTTCTGTTGGTTACGCACCGCTGATTGCAATGTTTGTCATTACTTCAAAATGTCTACCGATTCGTGGAAAAGGCCTATCAATGAATAATAATAATTTGCCTATCCAAATAACGTAATTTTGGCTGGCAATCTATAATATTCAGGCCCGTAGCCAGGGGGGTTTTTAGGGGTTCGGGCGAACCCCCTTTTTCAGCGAACCCCCCTTTTGCCAGCGAACCACCTTAACCAGAAAACGATCCCCGTTTCCAAAATAGTGCAATTTATTACAAAATAGGAGCATTTTTGGCACTGTTTATTTGTCGCTATCGTATGTAGTCCGATCGTAGAAATCAAAACAAAGCTGCAGCCAGCTGAATGACGTAACCAGCAAGACTTCAAAATGAATATTAATGAGAGGTTTGTTGCCTAAGCTATTTGACCAATCGCGTGCTCCGTAGTTTATTTACTTTGGCACGACGTCATCACAAAAGTTTGGGCGCTCGACATTTTTCATTTCTCTGGGATCGAGGACATGCGACATGCCAAAAATACCCTAGGAGGAGGATGAAGCGCCGAGAAAGGATAACCGATTTTTTTTGCTTCAAGGCCAGCAACGAAGAAATCACGAAATTTAAGAAGTTAGAAAAT